AAAAAAAAAAAAAGATTTATGCAATCGAAAATGAATAACTTTTTTTTTAAAAAAGCTCAGAGTTATATGTAATTGTGGCTTGCTTACAGCTTACACATAATTATTTTCAAATCTGTAACTCTAGTAGTTCTTATATTATCTAAAATGTTTTATAGATAATATAATTATATAACGTAACCTATTATAATAGTAACGTGTTATATTATCGTATAATGCAACCCATTATAAGTAGTAATGGTGTCATTAACTTAGCTCATATTACTTATTTAGTGCCTGTTTGTTCTTAGTTTATAGTTGTTGGTTCCCTTTATAGTATGGTTTATACTTGGAAGTAATGAAAGCAGATTTCTTTATAAATATTTATAGTACAGACCCTTTCCTAAATTAGACTACAGTCCTTTCTCAATTATTTCTAATAAAATCTGCTTGTATCTTTTAGGGGGGGAGGTGGATTAGCACTGTGTACTGCATACTCCCTAGAAAATTTGATCTTGGATATTTATGCCTTGCAGTTCATCGAAATCTTGTTAACTGCTATATAGGTAGTTTCAAAGTATACAAAGTTTAGTTACTTAACTAGTTTAAATAGATGCTTCTAATTTAGGGGCTTTTTTACCATCTGTAGTCATAAAGTCAAAAGCCATCACTAAGTAATGGCTCTTCTTGAATATCAGTATTTCCAGTAGGATCTTTTCATTAACATGTCTATGTTTGTTGAAAGTATCCATTAATAGCAGATAGCACAAGGCAGACAGAATGTACTTTCTTAAGGTTCTAAAGATCGCTTCTTACCTCTTGATCTTCAGTGAGATCGAAGCTTACAAATCTTTAGCCCCGTCTTTTCATAGGGATGCAAAGTTGTGATTTCAGAAGTTCCAGCCCCCAGTGAGAAGCATTATCCAATCCTTTGCACATGTCCTGTAAGCCATATTTCATCACAGATATCTCCATTCCAGTGTCATGGGCCACATTTAAAGTATTAAACTAGGTTCTTCTGTAGTCAAAACAACCAAGCCCTGGTTCAGACTGCGCTAGGACAAGAGCCGGTTGCACCCTCCTGTTCTGCCTGTGCATTTAGTGCTAGCATTCCCTTTTGCTAGTCAAGACAGTGACTCCTTTGCAAAATGTAACAGATTAGGTTATTTGTAAAAAGCCAACTAAAATCAGTAATAGTTGACATTGGCATGAAGTATTGTAACAGAATAGTAGTAATGTTTTGATTGTGCCATTGTGATTTTCAATAGACAAACACCCGAGACTCGTTACTTTTTTTTTTTTGATTTGCAGCTCTTTAGCTGTCCAAGATTTCACTGCCAAGAATGCAGTAAGACTTAGAGCTTTATTAGAGACCTGTGATCCAATCCATACAAATTCTTCCTTTAGCTCATAATTTCTGTTCAATCCTTTGTACTATCCAAAAAGGTACAGCTACCATTCATAGTCATTCCAAAAAAATCTGAACTACCTTGCTATGTGTAATTCTCACAAGACACACACAACAACATCCATACACTGAAAATTACAAAAAAGTATTACTTGCAGACGACCTTGCACCTCAGTTCCCAAATGCCCACGTGCAGAATATGGAGCTCATGTCCTTTCTCCCTCTTTGAACAATGAATGATAGAGGAGCTGCAGACTTAACTGGGTGAGTTTATATTGAGTGTTACAAAGAAAAGTCAGTTGGCCTTTCTTTGGCTTCAATTGCAGGGAATGAAGTCACTGCCTTTCCTGTCTTGGATCAAGACCAGAAAGAAATAATTGACACCAATGGAGCTGGAGATGCATTTGTTGGAGGTACAGATTAATTTATTTCATTCTTTCTTACATGTTAAACACTCTTTATTCTGCCACATACTCAAGATCTATTCATTTAATAAGTTTTAATTTTTTTCCTTTAAATAGCACCTAATGTTCTTTCTATGTGCTATCATTGTAAGTATTATGAGGGGATTTTACTTTAGGAAAAATATGTGTTTGGCCAAGATAATTTGCTATTATGCTATACCCCAGTCATTTTCACAAGATTAATTGTATGTGTCAGAAAATTGCATAAACAAGCTGCATCAAGTACAGTATATGGTATTCATAGCCCTTCAGGCTTAAATGTGAGCACATTTTTGTTCTTAAAAACAAGTTGTGGTGAATATTAAGCAGCATGCTAATAACTAAGGATGATGTCTTTGGATAGTATCCTTTGTTTAAAACATCTATTTCTAATGCAAGAGAGGGTGTTTATTATACTCCGAAGGGTTAAATTTTTGCCTGATTTGGACTCAGTAATCATTTTGGGAATTTTATAAGGACTCATCATTTTGGGAATGAGTACTCAGAAGTAAGATCAAGACAGTTGGAAGATTGTTGGTTTGATGACTTACATTGATCTAAAATCTCATTCAGCAATTATTTTGACAAATTTGAATTTCTTCTAAGTGTAGTTAAGTTAGGTTATGGTTACTAGAAAGTGTTAGATTCCTAAAACGTAGCCCAAAAGGAGATTCTTTATCTCCTGTTTCGTTCTCACACCTTCCAACAAACAGGGAAAAAAAGGCAAATGGAGCTGGCCATTGTCCCCCTTTCCCTGGAGGATCGTGTGAATCTTGGAAAACTTATTTGGGTGATGGTTTCAACGTAATGGTTTTATAAAAGGCCAGGCATGGTGGATCACACCTATAATACTAGCACTTTGGGAGACCAAGGCAGAAAGATCGCTTGAGGCAAGGAGTTCAAAACCAACTTGAGCATGAGCAAGACCTAATCTCTACAAAAAAATAGAAAATTTAGCCAGATGTGATGGTATGCACCTGTAGTCCCAGCTACTTGCAAGTCTGAGGCAGGAGAATTGCTTGAGCCCAGGAGTTTGAGGTTGCAGTGAGCTATGATGATGCCACTGCACTCCAGTGTAGGCAGCAGACCAAGACCTTGTCTCCAAAAAAGAAAAGAAATTATTTTAATGGTCTTTTTACTAGCATAAATTTTTCATTTTTCTTTCTCTCAACTATTTATTCCCTGTCTTAAATGAACTGTGAAGAGGCACCAACCCCTGTATTCTTTGGAAGGAGTGCAGACCACAGACAGCATTCTACTTTACCATCCTGCTCGCATTTTTGATTTCTTTGCTCTGAAAGGCTTCAATATTGATAACATTAGAGTACTTTGTGGCTAATTTTCTTATTCCATATTCTTCAGAGGTATAAATTTTTACAGGTTAAAAAGATCTTATTCTGATTAAGCCGTATTCTATAATAGTATATTAAGGAATCACTAGTGACTTTCTAGTTAAAAATTGGCTAAACCAGGAATCTTTTTTAAAATTGTACCCTGGCTCAGCACCTATAGCTCAACTGGCTAAGGCGTCAGCCACGTACACCTAAGGTGGCGGGTTCGAATCCCCAGCCCGGACCTGCCAAAACAACAATGACGGCTACAACCAAAAAATAGCCGTGCGTTGTGGCGGGTGCCTGTGGCCCCAGCTACTTGGGAGGCGGAGGCAGGAGACTCGCTTGAGCCCAGGAGTTGGAGGTTGCTGTGAGCTGTAATGCCACAGCGCTCTACCCAGGGGGACAGCTTGAGGCTCTGTCTCAAAAAAAAAAAAAAAATTGTACCCTGTATTTTAAAACCTTTAAAACAGTTAAGTACTCTATGTCTTTGACATTCAGTGAGGCCATCAGATATGATGGTAACCTAATTAGTTACTACTTCTGGCCCTGGGGTCCTGGGCTGCTTAGCCCTGCAACAATAGATTCTCTTACAGACACCTAACTACCTGTAATGCTACCAGTAGGAGGCAAGAATATGTAGACTTTTTGAGGGAGAGGCCATTCTTAGGATACTATCATTTGTATTGTATCTTGAGTGATAAATAAACTACTTCATCAAAAGCAGTTGGGATGGGGGTGGCGCCTGTGGCTCAGTGGGTAGGGCACTGCCCCGGGCCAAACTGCAACCAAAAATAGCTGGGCATTGTGGCAGGCCCCTGTAGTCTCAGCTACTCGGGAGGCTAAAGCAAGAGAATCGCCTAAGCCCAGGAGTTGGAGGTTGCTGTGAATTGTGATGCCACAGCACTCTACCAAGGGCAATAAAATGAGACTCTGTCTCTACAAAAAAAATTTAAAAAGCAGTTGGGATTTTTGTTAGAGGATTTTCAGCTTCTTTTTATCCCACTCTACTTGTCTAATTCATTTTGTTTATTATTGGGGTACAAGTAAATGAAAAAGAAATAGAGTGTGGAACAGAAGCTCACAACCTTTTGTTTTTAAAGCATAGGTAGTGAATATTTTAGGCCTTCCAAGCCACATACAAGCTGTATTTCATAGTCTTCTTGTTTTGTTTGTTTGCTTGCTTGCTTTTTTTTTTTTTTAAGACTTTGAAAATGTGAAGCCTTTCTTAACAGCACCTCCAGTTGTACAAAACAGACCACACACAGGCCAGATTTGGCCGACAGGCTATAAGTTGCCAAACCATTGTGTTAAGCATTGGCAGCTTCCTCCACTTTATTCATTTCTAGTATATCAAGGTTCCAAAAACCGGATTTCACTTCACACTGTTAAAATGAGAATAGAGAAAGTGGAAGGCAGCCAGAAACTAGGTAGGATTCCACTGATAATTCTTCAGTTAGATGGCCATTTTCTCTCTTTAAACCTACTCAGTCGGCTCGGTGCCAGCCACATACACCAGAGCTGGCAGGTTCGAATCCAGCCCTGGCCCGCCAAACAACAATGACAACTATAACCAAAAAATAGCCAGGCATTGTGGCAGGCACCTGTAGTCCCAGCTACTGGGGAGGCTAAGGCAAGAGAATCACTTAAGCCCAAGAGTTTGAGGTTGCTGTGAGCTGTGATGCTACAGCACTCTACCCAGAGTGACAGCCTGAGACTCTTGTCTCAAAAATAAATAAATAAATAAATAAATAATAAACCTACTCAGTGACCAGGGTAATCAGATCCCTGAAACATTGGGTCACGCAATGTGATGAACACCCGAGTGTCAGTTCATTCAGTGGAATACCTGTGTTGGCGTATTCCGCTTGACTCTATGTGAGTCAGGCTACAACATAATAGCAACAGATAACCTTAATATAGCACCTACTAGCCAATCAATATCATAAACACTTTACATATATTAACCAATTTAATGTTCACAAAAGCTTCTTGGGGTAGATTGTATTTAAACCTCTCTTTCTGATAGAGAAATAGAAGCAAAGAGAAGTTAGCTAACCTGCCCATAGTGTCCCAGCTACAAAGTAGCAGATCCAGGATTCAAACCTAAGCAATCTGCCTCTAAAGTCAACGTTCTTACTGTTTATTGTTTCTGTAAACAATTAGGGAAATCTTGTCATTAGGACTGAGAACCACAGACTAGCTTGCCTGACAAAGAGAGTATTCCTATTATCTGAATAGATGAGTTCATTTATTGAAGAGGGGGTTTTGTTGTCTGATAGGGTTCTAAGGACTGTAGGGTAAGATGGTTGCAGGAAAGACAGAAACTGAAAGAAAAGAGAATCGAACAACTATATTCCCTGGTGAATTTGAACCAAGAGCTTTTTTGCTAAGCAGTAAAATTGATTGTACTACAGAGATACAGAAAGCCAGGTCGTAATAAACTTGCTTGGTTAGCATGGAATCTAAATAAGGTAAGTGATGTGAATCATCTGTTTAATAGCATTAGCCTAACCTGCCTGATGCGTGCATCTTACGTTAGAGATGGTCTCCTTGGTTTGAAATACTAAAAAAAAAAAAAAAACATTGTTTAAAACCCCCTGCTCCTATCTCCATGCTGGTGCGAGCATTTCAACTGGGATTAAAGTAACTCTAGCTGTTGAAGACTCCATCTCCCCTGGACGTGAATCTCTAGAGAAGCAGTGGAAACCTTTACATTTATGGTGTAGTTTCTCTTTCTTTGCTTCGTTGCCTGATTCACCTATCACCTTTCTGGCCAGCATATCCTATCTTTGGGTAGTTAATATGTTCATCCTGTTATTTTCAAGTTTTGCTGGCCCAAGAGTGTTTATGTCTTTTCTGACTTTACATATCTGTCTTCTAGTTGACTTTGTGGTGATTTAACTGTCTGAAGGAGAGTAATTTTCTTTCCAGAAATTTCAAGTTTTGGGATAAAGCATCACTTCAGCTATCATGTGCTAATTACCTAACCCAGTACCAGAGTACCATGTGTTCATTTTAACCAGTTGAAAGACACATGAGGAACTACGTTGTGGATTTCCATGGACAATTTTGAAATGAGTACCCTAAATGTACATAAATCCATAGCTCCATCCCAAGGATTTAGTGACAGTGACAAATCCCTCTAGATTCTATACCTCCATGTTCTGTTTGGAAGTCATGAGCGCTTAGGAACATTTGCTCTTTATTTTGTCTCTGGCCAGCTCTGATGGAACTAATCTTTTCACATTTTTTCCTCAGACGTGTTAGGATTGCACCCTTGGAAATGGAGACGATTCTGTAATCTCTAAGTACGATTTCCTAATTTCCCAGGTCAGGAGAACATTTCTTCCTGTTGTCCTGCTGTGCTTTGTCACAGCAGGTCTGCCTTTTCATTTGGAACCTTCTTTGTCACTGCCTTAGTGACAAATGGAAACAGTGAAAACATTTTGTGACAGGCACTGTCATTGTTCCCAGTGAAATCTCTCCCCCTGTGTCTTCCCAGTAAACGAAACTGAAAAGAAAAATCATAACAAATAACATGAAAGGAGACCTAATCAATACGTTCCCACTGGGCTGTCAATACCCGCCTGTGTTAATCTGATCTGATTTTGTCATATGTTTTATGGAGGCTGAAGG